TGTTAGATGGAAAGCAGCTATTAATGCTGAGAGTGCAGAACTATTCTGTGCAGCACTGTCAGGCTGAATCCTTCCTGATTTTGTTGTATATCTCATTAGGGAATTGCTACAGGAAAGTATCATGCTGCTGTCCTTACCAATAACGAGGAGTGGGAAAGGGCATGTGTTAAAGCTGGCAGGAACTGTGGAGACCTGGTCCACCCTCTTGTGTATTGCCCCGAGCTCCATTTCAGTGAATTTACCTCTGCTGTAGCTGATATGAAGAACTCTGTTGCAGTAAGATATTTTTTTTTCTTTACTTTTTTTTATTAGATAAAAATATGTTCCTATGTGTATTCTGGATCACGTGTTCATCTGTTGATAGGTGTCTGAAAGTTCTTCCTGTGGGTTGTAATCTTTTAGAAATGGATCATATTAGGACCTCAACGACCATTTAATTGGGGATTTTGCAAGATAAATGCCACTCCACTGATATTTAGCATCAATTTTAAATGGGGTAGCCTGCTGCAAAGTTGTCTATGGGCTGCTTGCCTTTTAAACATAACCTTAAGATGAATGCTAAATTCCTGGATGGAGACCTTTTAAGAAATAAAATCAAGCATTCCTCAGATCGTATATAACCATTGGAGACAGTAACTGAGAATGGAAAAAACAGGAAATTGAGGACAGAGACCTCAGGGATTTCTGCAGCTGCTTTTTGCAGAATTTGAGAGTTACAGTGTGCATTAAGTTCCAAAAACACTGCAGAAATGATTTTGGGCAGAAGATGAAAAAAGCAGGACCAGATTGCTACCCAGGAATTAACTCAAAGCATTTACAGTATACATGACTAAAAACTGGGTTTTAGAGCCATCCATTAAGCTTTGAATTAGGAAAGACAGTTGTGCAAATCTATAGTCAAGAAGACAACACTGACGTTTTCTTTTCTTGCAAGACCAACTGTATTTTTACTGTTTCTGCAGGACCGAGACAATAGTCCAAGCTCCTGTGCTGGGCTCTTCATTGCTTCTCACATCGGTTTCGACTGGCCTGGAGTCTGGGTCCATGTAGACATTGCTGCCCCTGTTCATGCGGTATGTTCATAGGACTTCTGACATTTTACCCACCTCCCTCACACAAAACATGTGCTCTTGGGGTTCCTCCTCTGTTGAATGGAACATGTGCATTTTTTCCCCTAAAAAAAACTATCCAATTTACTCCTCATCCCCCAACCCACCTTTGTTTTAAACCCAACTTATTCAGCTCATGCTCCAAATCCATGGTCCTGTTGGATGGAACATGCTCTTGAAGAATGCTAGCACAGGTCCATCCTCAAGTCAGTGTGAGCTCTGTTCTTGTGAATCAACTGATGTATTGGTTTAATCTAACAGTGACAGGTTGCAATAGCAGTAAGGATACAGCAGTGTAAGTCAAGCAGGCTTGATAGTGTCTCCAAGTATTTGCTATGGCCGTGTGCTGTCAGTGCTTTTGATAGTAGCTAAATTAAACCAGCCCATATTATACAATCTGAAATGTGAATTGTTTTTTCTTTTCCAGGGCGAACGAGCTACTGGTTATGGCGTGGCTTTGTTGCTGTCTCTGTTTGGAGGGGCATCTGAAGACCCTTTGCTTAACATGGTGTCCCCTCTAGGGTGCAATGGAGACTCTCCCCCTGAGGATATGGAGAGGGATTCCAAAAGGCGGCGCCTGATTTAATGCGCCCCCAGCTCTATGTGACGGGGTGCATGTGTTACCTCACTTTGCACTGATTTGTTTTCAAGCAATGAAAATGTCACATGTCAAAAATTGCCATTTTTTTTTACTATCATGATAAGATTTATTACTTGTTTCTGATAAAAACAGCCTGATTCATTTTTGTTAGTGTTTTTTTAAATTATTGGTGCAAACGGTTGCTGAACAATATCAGTGGTGCAGACTCCAGGCTCAGCTAACTGTACCAGGAGGAAGGCACATCTTCCTCTGAGCACCTCATGAAACCAAACTAAGTGCATTAATGCATGAGAAGCTCTCTCTATTCTGAAGAAGCAACTGCAGTTCTTGCTTACAAAGCCTTCTGAATTACTTATTTTACATGAGGATTTATCAGACATTTCTGCAGGCCCCACTACATCTCTGAACACAGGATAAGGAAAACTGTAGTTTTGGCATATTCAAAGACAATTTAACTTAGTAGTAAAGGAGATATAATGAGAAAAGGCCTTTAGTCTTAATACGGTGCTGTTCCCGCATGTGTAATGTATTTCTGACCAGTAAAATCTCTAAGTGATCCAGAGCATATCTCTACATAAATCTTTCATGTTCAAATTACAGAATGTATTCATGTTAAATGAGGAAAAAATTGGGGGACTGTGATTGAGTAAAATCCGTTTACAAAGCAGAGTGGCTTCTTGCCACTTAATAAATTTATTATTATTAAAGCAGCTTACATATCCCACGTGGTGCTTCATAGTGTTATTTACATTTCTGAGAATACTGAGTGTTCCAAAGATTTGTGTGCAACCTCATTGCTCTGTTCAAATTCCTTTTGCCAGCGCTCACACATCTGAAGACAGACCCTAACGCAGTAACAGCTTATATTGATTGGTATGGTGCAGTTCTGAAGAACTTACAATGATTCATTTCATTTGTTTGATTCAACAGTAGTCAGGATGCGTAATATTAGTTTCTGTATAAATTAGTCTCAAAGAGTTTCCAAGTAATAGCTTGGCTTGGGCACACATGGGAAATGACTTACCCCAATTTATATGTCAGCAGCAGAGTTAGGAACAGAGTGACCAACTTGTAATCAGTGTTAGTCCCTGCCTGGTGAATTCAAGCATCAGCCTTTGGAAACAGTTCTTGGCTCAAACAGCATTGATGTTGAAAAAATCCAACACAGCACACACTTTTGGCTGCTTTGAAGATAAAAGTCAAGCAGAGTTGTGACAAATTATACCTTTCCCTGTGTCGGAGGTGATCTCTGGGGAGAACTGGTGCTAGGTTTTAGATGGAAGTTCTAACAGTGATGTACACATCTGATTTTGGCTTTGTCTTTTTGATTAAAGACCTCGTGAAAAGCCTAATGCAGAAGATAGAAGAAGTTTTTCATTTTGTTTTCTTGGCTGTATTTGATTTATAGGCAGAGTGTAACTTTTTTTTTCTTCCCCAGAATTTCATTATTTCCTATATGTTCCTATTGCTTTTTTTGATTTCCTTGTCCACTTGATCACAGTTTTAGGAAATCTACATAGAAATAAAAGTTCTATCTTAAGTCATTCTAGATGCTCAGTGTAAAGCACTACCTGCTACCAAAATCTGTTTCAGGAAATTTGTCGAAGAGTTATTTTCATTTCTGATTCAGTCTGACCACTGAAGCTAACGGCAAAATGTTCTAATTTCAGTGCTCTGAAATCTCCATGCTGTTGAAACACTCTTCAGATTAATTAGTTCTAATTTAGAAAATATGGTGTTTTGCCAAATGAGGCAGGTTTTTACATACACAGTAGCCTGCAGTTCTGTGGTGTGTAAGATTATTATTCACTGAGTGCTGCAAGTCCAGATAAAAGAGAAATGAGATTTTAATAATTTAGGATGTTATTTTTCTTTTTTACTGTTTCTCAAAGCACATCATACCATTGGATTTAACTTGGAAGGCACTTAGTAGAAGCCATCTAATAAAATTAATATTGAAAAAATCTAATAGGAAATACTTGAAAAGGAGTAGAAGAGATAAATATTTAGGAAATCAAAAACTGAAATAAGAGTTTAAATTTGCTTAAGCAGAGTAAAATAACCCAACACCTAATGAAGAGAAAGAGGTTTGATGCTTTTTGAGAAGGAGCTGTTCCAACGATGAAATAAAAATCAAGGTGGTTTTTGTTTTGCTTTGTTTTTAATTAGCATCTCTTACTATTTCCCATGCACATTGTTATTTCCTTCTGTTTAGATAAGAAGTCTGTCCACTACAGCAGAACTTAATACCTATACAGTAAAGTGATTTGTGATCTCTAGATAAAGTTTCAGACCTTCTTCAATGATCAGATCTCATGCTTGTTAAACTCACAGTCTTTCTTAGCCCCCTAATGGACAGAATTTTAGCTCCACTAAGGCACTTACCAGCTCCTGGATTTGCTTACCTACTTTCACGTGAAGGACAATTTTAGCTTCTGCAGCATTTGCCCTGAACTAGCTTGGTGAGAAGTCTGGAAACAATCTAATAAAGGGGAGATGTCAAAACTGCCTTAGAAGTAGCAGATAACCAGTGTCGGAAATTATACACAGGATGGTTACCAAGCAGAAATAAGCCTGTATCAAACACAATTTGCAACTGGAATTTGCAACTGACACCCATTTCTGCGAATAACTGAGCAGATTAAAAAGCTGTTTGATGTTCTTACTGCATCTATTACTGTCCTGACCAAGTGCTTTGTGGTTATGAACATATTTAACTGCACAGTCCCCTCCATGTGACAAAGCAGTGTGTTACTTATGGGGAACACTTTCAGACAGCAGAGGTTTACCTCAGTGGATTTAGGTGACCACACCTGAAGTATATTCTGGTACCACTTAAGCAACTTTAAATAGAAGCACTCTCTGCTGGGCAGTGCACACCTATGTAGCTTAATAAAACTTCATTAGGGCCTATGTCCTCCAAGCTGCACAGTACCATGAAGCAAGCCATCAAAGATACCAAAGCTCCACAGAGCTAACTGGGTTGTGGAAAATAACCTTGATATCTAAGTAAAGAAGTAAAATTTGGGGGCTCCTAAGCTCCAGGTTCCCAGCTGACCTACTACACCTCTGCTACCTTCTGAGCAACTTCTAGAGACTGAGCAAGGCCGTGCAGGGCCTGACACCAGGCTCCGGAAGCAGCAGAGTGCTAGGAACTCTCTAGGTTGTTCTCTAGGAATTAAAGCTTAAATTGCTGCAGGTGTGGTGGGCCCAGCACTTTCAGAAGGAGATTGGTAATTAAGCATAAGCTAGTAAACCTGGGGAGTGCAGGTCACACCTTCCTGCTGACCTTAGAAAATGGAGTAGGCCTGTTAAGTCTGCTTGTTCTGTGGCATTAGCTCTCTACCCACGTGTTTTGTAGTGCCTCCCCCAAAAATGTGGGTATTGGCTCCTTCCTGGTCTCGCACAGCATTGCAACAGCTGGCTCCCAATTTCCTTCTCGTTTTTTCCTCTGGGCAATGCTGCTGTTAGCTGAGGATTTCCTGGTGAAAGCTGACACAAGCATTGGGTGAGTTAGTGAGCTCTGTCACAGCCATCGGGCTCCAGGGGCTGTTGAATACTTCTACAACAGATTGGTTCTGCTTTTGGTAGTTTGCTATGAGCAAACTTGGGGAGGGAGGACAATAGTAAGGAAGGAGCTGGTGGGAGGAACAGAGCTGTCAGAAACCAGGGCCCAATGTGTTTGGGGTAGCAGTGGCAGGTTGGGGCCTGGTGCTCTGGTGCACCAGAGCAGACAAAAAGAGCTGGAAAGGCCTGCTCTGTGTTATGCCAGACCCTGGGGTCTCAGCAATGAGCAAGTTAACAGCTGGGCAGAGGACGTGCTGCTTGTTCCAGGCTGTTTGAGTCAAAGGGAGTTTTGCTGGGCAGTGCTCTGTGGTGCTGCCCAGTCACAACGGCTCTTGTAGGAACAGAGCTGCCCACGCTGCATTTTCTGGGATGCAAGTCTGAACCAGCAGGGTTCTTCTGTTTGGTTTTGTGAGCAAGAGGGCTGTCTCCTCACCGGGAGAGGTGCTGAGCAGGTGATCTGTTGGCTTGCTTAGAGCAAAGAGGAGTTGGTGCTTGAGGGGTTGTCCCAGACCAACGTGCTCAGTCAGGAAAAATCTCTGTAATGTTTTGATTGACCTTCAGCTTGCAAACCTTGCCACAGATTTTTCTGACTGAGCTTAATTTTGTGTAGAGCAAGTGAAGTCAGCTACATGTACTACCACTTCTTGGCACTGCCAAACACTGGCTGAATGAGATTAAATGGGACTTGCTACTTCCATGCTTCTCATTCTCCCTTAGCTTTTTTTTCAGTCTTCCTCCCTGCCATGGGACTGAACAGCATTCAGCTAATCTGTGATGTGAAAGGACTTCTTCCCTTGTTCAAGTCCCTTGGCTACTGAGTTTTGAAATTGTATCTGTGTCAGCTCAGGTCAGCGAAGCCCCTTACCCTGTAACCGCCCATTACAAGGCTGGCAGAGATGTTCAAGGGCTGGTGGTCACCCCTGGCATTGACTGACAAAGAGGCATAAGGAACAGAGGGGACCATGCAGTGCAAGTCACTATGAGGATAGTGCAGCCCCACACCATATTTCACAACCATTTTCCTCTTCTGCCCTGAAGGTTAAGAATACTTCTGCAAAGAAAGAAATCTTTAGCTAATTGGCCACAGCTGTTCCAGAAGTAGTCATGAGAAGGGATTGCACAACAGGAGTCACTCACCTTCTCAGACTCCCTCCAGGCTTTCATAAAGAAAATGTTAGCATATAAATCTTCAGCACAGGCCCAGCTAGAGAGGCTGTGGGCCCTGCCTGTCCGGGGCCAGCTGGTACCTTTTAGGCTGGAGCAAGCATCTGCTGGAGGCTGGAGTCCTGGCTGCAGGCCTTTACCTTTGTTTCGTTGAGGGGGCCGAGGTGTGTTGTGCTTTTCCTGTGGCTTCTGACCAGAATTAATCTGGGTATCTGAGCTGTGGAGGGTGTCCAGGGGCTGAGGAACCATAGGTGCTACTGCTGGCTTTGGGTATAGTCTGAGACTGGGAGGTATGGAAATCCCATCCTGTTTGTAAAACTTGGGATAAAATAGCTTTGTGAAAAATGGTCTTTGCGACATCAAGACAAGAGTCTGGATTCCAGGACTGCACTAGGTGAATCAGAACATCTTTTTATCTTCTAGTACAGATGCACAAAACTATCATTAATTGTGTTTTCTACACTAGCATCTTGGGACTTGTAGAAGAAAGTCCATACAAGAAAAACATCCTTTTATACTTACACCACACTGAACCAAAAGCTGCACAGGCCTATAATAGACACTTTAACTTATAATTATATATATAATTTTTTTTTTCCCCCACTTGCACATCGACTGGATTAATGTATTTTATTCCTTAGTCCTCGTTGTGGTTTGTGTCCTAGAAATCCTGTTGTCTTGGTGTGTGGTGGCTTCTAGGTGCTGAATGGGCAAGCAAGTTTTCAAAAGCTGGGGTGTGGGGACTCTTTTTTCTTTCTCTCCCCTTTCATACTTTCTTTCAAACGCTTCTCTTACACAAAACCCACAGAGAGAGTTCCGGGCAGTGTCTGCCCATATGAAAACAGACATTTTTCCATATCTTTTTATAGATTTGATAATATTTAACTCAGCATGTATTAAGAATGTATGGAGTACATAAAATTAACTATAAATGTCACCAAGTGGGCCAATGGCTTTTTAATATCACTGCCACAAGACTGCATTTTAACCTATTTCCTGCCTGGATTCATTCCAGTGGCAATTCCAGGCGGGGAATATATTTAGTCTGTATTTACTTAGTCTGTTTAACTTTCTGTTAGTGTCTTTGGCTCATCCCGTGGCCATGCTATTTTGGGATGATTTATACAATATTTACATTAAATTCTGCTAATATTTCCTTGCCTCTTGAAGTCGGATTACACTATTTACATCTAAAAGGCCCAGGCTGGAGGAACAAGCAGCTGTTCCAGGCACCAGAGAGAATTTAGCACAGTGGAGGCTGCCAGAAATGAGACCATGTGTCTGAGCTACTTATGGAGGAATTATTTAGAATTGGAGTAGTCTGTGAAGGAAAGAGTAAGGCACGTTAAGTAAGCAAGCGTAGTAGTAAGAAGCATGGCTGATACAGGGACAATAGCATTCAGGCACTTTCTCATTTCCTGCAAAGGATTTCTGCTATTCTTCCTATAAATTGTAAATGTCCTGAGCTAAACTGCTGTACTGATAGCCCCTTTTGGGTGAAACTGGGCCTGCAGTTTATGTACTCTGTAACAGCTGTGACATTCAGCTTTTCTTACACAAGAAACTAGAAAGGGTTGATGCAACTGCAGCCCTTTGTCTGAGCATTTGCCTGTGACCCAACTGGGCTGGCCACGCTTGGTCTGATGGTCTGACAAACTGAAATAGATGCACTTGACCAAAGCTAAGCGGTCTGGCTTAAGTTCATCCTCCTATATGTTAATTTATAGGATCTGTTGTTGTCCTTTTTCCCCCTGAAAATTATTTTAACAAATTAAAATGTATTTAAAGAGGTTAAATGTGTTATTGTTATAAAAGTTCAGACCAGATTTGAACCCACCAAAACCCAAGATTCAGAGTTGCTTGCCACATGCAAGAGTCGGAAGCCATGCTAAATACTTATTTCATCTGTATTTTTCACAGTAAAAAGTCCAAGAACTTTGGGGTTTACTTCTAGAAAACAGCTTTTAGCTAAGCTTAGGTAAATGCTTCTGCTGGGATTTGTCTTTGCCATAGTTCATACATATGCAGATGATGCCTTTTTCTGGTGGAGCTCAGGCCTTCTTATCAGTATCAAATACAGTTACCACATCCAAGCAGACATATGAACCACAGGCGCAACTGTCTGCAGAAAAAAATTGGAAATAATTAATTGTACATCCTTGCATAGTCATTGCCCAGAACATGCTGTACTTCTCAGTTGTGGATTGCAGTAAAACCTGAAGTTCAGTGTCCATCTACCTCTTTCCAAATATTCCTATCACATGTGTCTGCCAAAAGAATATGCTAAGTCTCTATTGATAGAACACACAAAGATCAGTTCTTAGAAGGATGGATTCTTTCCCGTTTCTTCATAGGAAGCAATGGATGAACTTTAGGGCACAGGAAGTACCTTAAATGACACTGGACAAAGTAGTACCTTTCAGTCGTGCCCGGTAAGATGAAGAATATCCATATCCTTGACCTTGTTTGCCTTTTTTTTTTTTTTTTTTTTTTTTTTAATTCTAGGACTGTTTTGCAGAGACCCCTCTCATAAGAAATCCCTCGATTGTTACTGTCGCCCGTCTTCCCAGACTGGCGTCCACATCTCTAATTTGAAGCAATCACTTTAGCAACAGTTGTGGAAAGTGATCCAAACCTAAAATCCTCAGAGAGCCTGTAGGATGCAAACTCCTTTTTACATCCCACTGCAAGGCTTGGCCTAGAAAAGGACACCACAGTATGCATACAGCAGTGCTGGCAACATTTAAGATGGAGCTGAGCACTTTTTCCAGAAGTTTATTGCTCCCACTTGGTATTGAGAGCAGTCTGGAAGTGGAGCTGGCCTCCTTGCTCCAGCCCTGGCAACCAAATCCTGAAAGATCCTCTGTCCTGCCATGGTGGTGCCCTGCATCAGCCCTCATCTTGGTGGAATCGGGATGGCTCATTTCCTTGAGGAGTCATCCAGGCCCTCTGATTCATTTCTGTTTCATGTGCCTTACCTCCACGCTGAAAAGATCTGCTCCTGTCCTGTACGGGACTCCCCCACAATTTGCCCAGAAAAGGAAAATACTTTGGGAAAACCTCAAAGCATGTAGTTTGCTTTTCTTGGGAAGTAGTGATGTTGCCACATCTGCATCCCATTTTCATGGTCTTCTCTGGTGCATTCCCTTTTCCTACTATAATAGTTAGTTATCATGATACTCATCTGAGTTGTTTTGTTTCACTGAAATTAAGACTGAATCAAAAAGCAAGGGAAAAAAAAAAGAAAGAGTGGCTGTAGATCATAGGAAATTCCCATTGTGTCCCTAGTGGTACAGCAAAGCACTCAGCTAGAGGGAATAAAGTATATGGCTTGTTCAGGCTTCTGACCATGAACTCCCTGCTTTTTGTTAACACAGACTGTCTAAAACCCAGCTCTCCTAAAACCCAGCTTCACAAATAAAGTCTTAGCTGAGGCTGTTGAGAGTATATTATGGTCCCCAAGAAACAAAAGATTTTGCTCTCCAGCCTATAGAATAAAATTAACACTTTTGTGCTAATCCCAAAAGTTCAGATCCAAAGGTAATGAAGTTGATCACCTATAAACATTGGAGCACAGGCATCAAACATAACGCAGTGCCTGGGTGAATGGTACCAAAGAAGAGCTGCATGACAGGCTGTTAGGCTTGGAGGGTTCTGGGGCTAATTTCCAATGCTTAATGGACCTTTTTTCTTCAGGAACCTTTAAGCTGTACATATGCACGTCCTTAATGCTTGCAGCCTATAAAGGCTGAGATTAACATAACCATAAATCTACTG